GTGTAGGATACGCCCGCTTCATATTTTTAGCCTATGCATTAATCTAATGTATAAGCTATATTACTGTAAAATTTCATCAAAATCCGTTCAGTACTTTTTGCGTGAAAGAGTAACAAACATCCATCCATACTCAGGAACTTTCGCATTTATAATATTAATAATAAGATAATAATGGCATGTACAAGTGGTACTTTTGATAACAAGCTCTCAAATTATAATACGATATGTATTTTATTTTATGAATATTATTAATTTTGAGACAATACACATATATTGGGAAGTTTCAGAAATGATACGTCGATGCAGCAGTACATTTATTCCTTTCTTCAAATTACACTCCACATAAATTGCGTCGCTGTACATTCACGTCTGGTCGTCTAGGTCGCCTCGAACAGAGTGAGAGCAGCCCGCTCACTCCTTGTTCCCGGCCTCTTTATCTCTATTCCTATTGGTGGCGGCATAATCGTGACGCCACCAACATCACGTGACTCACTATGGCTTTAAATGAATGAAATGTAAGTAACAAATTAGTCAACCGAGTGTTCTTTATGTATTGAAGCTAACACATAGTTAATTAAATGAATAAATGAAATTAACCAAAAAAAAATAGCATAGATAGTAGGTAGGTATCATTTATAAAACCCAGAAATCTTTTATCTAACGGCACGTTTAAAATTCCGGACGTGGATGGATTTAAAAATATAAATCCAAACAATTATTTGAATGCATGCACCCAAGTGTAATCTTTGCGAACTGCTCCTCCGGTCACGTATAACAGAATGGCGAAAAAAAATCTGTCCCCAGCACCGATCGCGATACACGGCCGGACGCGGGCGGAATATTTTAATTTTTATATTATTTTATTAAATATGGAAAAATAACCCTGCGACCGCCCGTCCCCCTCAAGGACCCACCTTGGTTTAATTGTGTACAGCTTAGCCATGTGTGTATCTCGAATTTTAATATCAACCACGCTAATCCAACCGCCCTTATTTTTATTGTACTTTTGGTGCTAAATTTGCATTTATAATTTATTATCGCTTTATGGCCTATCGCATAATTCGGTTGTCTTATTTAGGTTTCGCGTGTGACAGTTTCATTACGCCTTTTGTGAGACGTGTAAGTGAACCTTAAAATTTAAGTAATTAAAATTTAACATTGGACATCTTAATTTATAATAGTATTATAATAAATTTTGTCATCATGTACAAGCTCATTTGAAAATAATAAGTTAAGTTTCTTGTCAGTTCTTTTTAGCTCGAAAGCAATCCGAACTGATGGTAGATTTAACATATCATAAGAGTCTGTAATAGACGTGTAACATGAATTAAGGTATTTTGATTTTCATTGATTTTTTATTTATTGTGAAGTTAATAAAACTATATTTAATAACATTTTCTGCTTCGAAATAAATACCTTTTTTTTCTTCTATTATATAGTCTGTGGAAACTTAATAGATATTCTGCAATGTTTAATATATATACTTATTTGTCATATATTACAAATATTTATATTTGTTTACTTATACTGATAATAAATTCTATTAAATTTATATAAATTATCGTTACTGAATATAGTTTTTGCAATATACTTTGTAATATTTATTACTTTGTCGACGCTGTTGATATTTATTCTTCTATAGAAATATATCTTAAAGTATCTTATTTTCATTGAACACGTCTACTAAAGGGTTAAAATTAAAAAATAAAAGGCGATAGAAATACAATATTGTCTACTCTCTCAATTTAAACAATAACGAATTAAAATTTCTAAATATGTATATTTATTTCAAAAATAGAATTATAAAATAAATTGTTCAACCGTGAAATTCGAAACCATTATCGCCTGGAATAGGCCACGGTTCGGAACTGTCGGAGGTTTTCGTCGCTCGAATTTATGTCCGCCCCGCAAAGACCGCAGCGGCAGCCGACGGGTTAGCGTCCACTGTGCGTTGCCACTGCAAGCGACGCTGGCGTATTGCACGAGTGTTAGAAGAGGTCAAAATAACTAAAAAAAATCTAATATGATTATCATACTTATATTATAAACTTGAAAATTTGTGTGTGGATGGATGGATGGACGTTTGTTAGTCTGTCACGAAAAAACTACTAAATAGATTTAAATGAAACTTTACAAAGATAGCTTATATATCACATAGGTTATAAATTACATGCGGGTGAAAGCGCAGACAGCTATAAGTTGCGAGGTAACAGACAAACTTGGTATGAACATGTTATACGTAAGAGCGAAGAACATATCTTAAAGAAAGTATATAACATGAACGTGGATGGATGAAAAGAGGACAACCAAAAAAAGATGGATGAATTGTGTGAGAGATGATAGGTATAAAAGGAGAGTAAGCTCAGATATGACGGCCGATAGAGATCAGTGGTGGAGACATACTGCGCCGACCACAAATAATAGGATAAAGTCAAGGCAATGATGATGAGTATGATTATGGACTCGTTTTATTTATGTCTATTTAATCTAATTTATAATTTTACTAACTGACTCGCTCGACTTCGTTTGCATCACACTTATCATTATATGTAGTTCAATTTACATAATAAATTTTTAAATTATAGCATATATGTTATTCTGATGTTTAATCTATGTTACTGTAAAGTTTCATCAAAATCCGTTCAGTAGTTTTTTAGTAAAATAGTAACAAACATCCATCTATACTCACAAATTTTCGCATTTATAATATTAGGAAGATATAAAATTATATTTTATTTTTTAAACGCACTGCCCACACAAATCTCTTTTGCCTTATGGTTGACTGGGAGGAAATGCCTTAAGATGTTAAGTCTATCCTTCGCTTGTACTCCACAAGTTTATTTATTTATTTCAGGCAACTAAGCCCATATTATAAATACCTTATAGACTAACATACATATGAAATAATATTTTAAAACGAATATACTGATATTGTCTGTGTGGTCACGGCACTGACGACGGCAATCTGCCACGGTAGCGCCGATAAACCACACCGTTTTCGGCCAGTGGTCCTCCTTCATGAAGGTGGGCAGCATGTCGGTGGGGACCCGGGTCACAACCCCCTCGAAACTCGCGTTGTGACTCGACTCCAGCTGCGTCACTCAATGTCAGGTTAATCTTGGTTTTCATATAATCGACAATGTCCTGCTCATTAAAGTATCAATGAAAATATATATCCGCCTGTATAGAAGATGATAGAAGTAAGTAAAAATCGTTTGTCCCAAACTGGCGCCCCACAATCCGCAGCCGGCGGGGGTCAAACGGACCGGGGCCCGGGCCCGGTAGGGTTAACGCACTTTGATTCTTTCCGATAATCACTCGCTAATGCACCACCCCCTGTAGGAGCGACTGTTTGTTTAAATGTATTGTTTCTACGGGTGTTACGGAATGTTGGGGGAGTTTGGGAAGTTTCTCAATGGCAATAAAGTTACCGTGAATTTTATTTAATACTAGCAACTATATCCGACTCCACACATATGTATACAACGGACTATGTTCTGAGGAATTGTTCGACATGATGCCGACGGCTACAAAAACGGGGAAAATTATTCATATTTGCTTCATTTTGGCTTCCATTGCGTGCCCTCCGTAAACGGTTCAAGTTACCCAAAAATATGTATGAAGTGTTTTTGAAAACCACGCGAACGAAGTCGCGGGCACAGCTATTATATTATAACTTAATAGTTCTAAAGCTTATATTATATAGCATGAGTTACGGGAGCCCGTTTGGTTCTGTGTAATGTACTGGAAGTATCTTTGAACGGTATCTGAATACAAAGTTTATCCCCCACAATAATGTATACAAGGTTACTCATAAGGTATACCCACTTGAAACCTTCCCTGGGTTTAAAATTCATAAAACGGAACAAGTCTCTGCAGTTTGGAATTTTGAAAATATATTTTTCAAACTTTCATATCAAATCGAATTTACGGTTTCAATATTAAAGTAAAAAAAAATATATAATATGGCACGGATCGAATTTTTACAATCGATCAATCAATTACAGGAATCTTCTCCTGGAGTCGGCTCTCCTAGTCCTTCGCCTGGTACATCTGTCCTGAGTCGTGAAGTCGTTTATTCTGGTTTCCTTTAGGTCGTTACTGATGAGCTGTTTATATGTAAACGTGTACAACTATATTTGAAAAGAATTCGAGCTGAGTTTCTTGTCAGTTCTTCTCATCTCGGAACCACCGAACTGACGGTAGATTTGACATATTTTAAGACCCTGTAATAGACCTACAGATTAATAAAGATATTTTGATTTTGTTTCTGATTGATATCAATAAAATTTTATCCCTTCCGTCCCAATAAACAAATTGGCTAACATAAGAAGCTCACGCTTCATGTCTAGACCACAAAAGATGCAGTAACCGGCTTCAAACAGCGCGAACATAACAACTTTTTCAATTTCCTTTAAAAATAGGCGAGCGGCGACCGCTCGAGCCATCAAACGATAAATGATTATAAGTATGACGTCAGAGGAAACGAGGCAAGGCGGCAGCGTAATGAGAAATAAGGCAGAACAGCAAAAAAAGCAGGAAGCAAACGCCTCCCCGTCGTTTTGCTCGTTTTATTGATTAAAAAACTTTCTTAATCATATTTCGCGCTCGTCCGAAATTGGATAGTTGTATCGGAATGCCAGTTATGGATTAACTCTGATTTCGATTGTTTCTAATTTGATTTGTATCTTGTTTCTGCCGCTAGCACAAATTAAAAACGGATTTAAGAGATTTTACAAATGACCAGTTTCAGTTGCTAATATCCGTCATACTCGTGTACGAGTGCTGCTCGTAGGAACTGGTCTGCTCTGTTCGCTACGACTGATTTACTCTTATTGAGTTACTCAACCAGTTGGTTGGTTGGTTGTATATTTATTATTTTGACTCTAATGAATTAGTCCTAATTGTTATTTTGTGTTAACACATTAAAACTTAAACAATTATAAAACAGCGCTAATTTTCATATATTTGTGCTTATTGTAAATTTTTTTTTTTTACAGAAACTCCACTTACTGTCACCACCAGCATTCTCCGTGGAGCGCATCATCAGCAGCGACTGTGGTAGCAGGCTGTGCGTATGGGGGTCACGTGGAGTCACCGTCCTTGAGCTACCATCGCGGTGGGGCCGCGCTGGACTCTTCGAATCAGGGAGCCAGACCGTGCTGTGCAAGTAAGTGGTAGTATCATCTTTGTGAGGCTAGTAATATGTGTATATTAATAGTTTTTTTCTTAAATTCGATCTCTTTATTTAGGGATCTTCAGGGATTTACTTACGTCAATTTTTTTTTGTTATTTTTGATAGTGTTTATGGTGTTTATGTATGTATATAGACAGTCAATGTAACTTGTTAAAAAGTTAATGCAGATAGAGACTGACGAAAAAAGTCGCATGCGTGAAAGTGCTGGGAGAAAACATCTGCAGTAAATAATAACTAAATAGTATCTAAATTCAGCGTAGTTACACATTGTACGAGATATCAATGTGTGAAATTATTTAATAACTTACTAGTTTAATTAATCTAATTACAGATTTACCTTGTTTAAAATGAGATTAAAGATTTATATTAGAAAAGTGCAACTATTCCGTAACTTATTATTACAATGATGACCACAAACACTAAACGTATTAGTAGAGTTATATTGAGAATATTAGTTAACCAACATTATGCTTACTTAAAAAGTTAACTTTGTTATGTCAGTAAGACATAACAAAGTTAACTTTTTAAGTTACTAATTTGTATTCTAGTATATATAGACTTTGTATCCTACACAATTTATTTTGTTTTCAACGAATAAATATCACCTTCCATTAGATAAGTCGTTTTGTATCATTCGATATTTAAAAAAAACTTTGAATGTAGAATTACACTACCCTTTAAATGTAAGTCATATATTGCCTTACGAATATAATCCCGGATGGGGTAAGCAGAGGCATTGTTAGATGTAGACGTTATCTTACTAGTTATATCTAGAAATATCGTCTTTCTATCTTAGAGTTAGATAGTTGTAAATTATTAATTATATACATTGAAATGCTTATATGTGAAAACTGAAAATATAAGTATATTTATTATTAAATCACAATACTTTTCAAAGCTATGATATATAACAAGGAATATGAAGTATATTCCGTGAAACCAAACACCTGAAATTTAATATGGCTGATAACTACCCAAGAAAGCTAACACGTAAACATCGTGCATTTTCTACTATCAGGCTAAATTTTGTTACCTATTAAGCTCCTCGAAGCGGCTATAATGTTGGCCTGAGGTAACGATTAAGTCAAAGAATATAATTATGATTACAATCTGCGCAGAGTGGTCAGTTCATTAAACTAAAGTAAAGTTTATGTGTTAATGTTGTTGAGCTGTACATTACACAATATACTTCTGTTTTTCTTCTTCTTTCTTCTCTTGATTTAATTAATGTATGCTTTAGGTAAACCATTATAAATTACTAATAGAATGTACAAAATTTCTCAATACCCCAATAATCTACTAGTTAGGATCCCAATACCTGATTATTAATATAAAATATTCGTGTTAAAACCCATTTAACAATATTTTTATTAATATGTTATTGATATTTTATATATATATACATATGCACACACACGCACACTCATATACATATATACATATAGAATACTAACAATCATACTCATGAATACAATTGTTTGTACCCTGCGAACAATCGAACCCACGACCATTGGAAGTAAGGCGGTGTGCTATACCCGTGGACCATTGAAGCCGTCTATTTTTTATAGATCAAGATGTAATGGCATTTGTATAAATATCATATAACAATATTTTCCGCCGCTTGTTCGATGATATCTTCTTCACAGAGAATTGCCTAAAATCTTTTCCGTCATTCATTGTTCATTCATCGCACTAAATTCTCTCAGAGACGCCTTATCCAAAGGTAGTAAACTAAGACCGTTCCATCTACCTTCTACATATCAGCTCGAGCCAAGTCTTTGCATTCAACAGTCACCACTCTTTTGTACATGTTATTAGGTAGCTATATCTCCCATTTGCATATTTCGGCAGTAAAATTAATTCGAAGATTTGCCGCCATCCACCCTCCGTCTCAGAGGGGGGCTTAATGTTTTTGGATTTGTGCATAAGACCAATTATTGCAGTCTCATCTCCGGAGGTGACTGCTGTCTTTATTGTTATCTATTGTTATAGCCAAAGAATAGAGTACAACAAGCAGTACAATAAGTCGGTTGGAAGCTCATAATAAAATTATTTTTCATTAAATTCAATTTTATATTTGTAATTTTCAGTAGTTATTTTTTGTATGATTCTAGCATCACATTTAGTTGATAACACACTAAAGTTTTAGTTGAGAAGAATAGTTAAATATTTTGCTGGGGCACATTAAAAATATAACTTAGTAAACTATCTATTAATGTTGTTCATGTAATAATGGTAAATATTTAATATAAGATCATCAGTTTGTTTGTCATTATAATTAAATAACACATTACAAACATTACAATAAATATGTAATATTATTATTGTAATGTTTGTTTATAATAAAGAAATACTTAACGTAATAAATATTTCTTATTTAATATTCTTACGGTTAACATTTTTTTTCGTTTTTTTTTATTTTATTTTTTTAATCACTGAATAATATCTCAAGAATAAACCTGGCATCGATGATTCAGTGTGAGGTAAGCCCATAGAACTCATATGAACGTTTAATTTCTAATTTTTTAATGTTCAAAATTTAAAAGCGTTTTTCTCACACAACTCATGTTTTCAAAACTACTGCACTGATTATTTTGTAATTTTGAATATTATCTCTGTATATAATTTACGAGGTAACGCTTTTTTTTTAATTACAATAAAAAACGCGTTTTTTCTTTTAAAGTGAAAAATTGAAATTTCGAATATCCCCCCAGTGTGACCTGGGCAGTATTGTCTTACCATATAATTTTGATTTTTTTATTGAAAACTTCCAGCACCTAATTCCGAGTGTCTTCAAATTTCATACTATAATTTACCATTTTTTAATAAATAGATTTCAACGGTTCATAAAAAAAAATCACAGTCATGTTCCTTTTTCACACGAATTATTCCCTATTCCTATTCCCCCCTTAATATTGGTTAAACTGACATTAAAAGCTAAGTGTCACTAAATCTATTGAAATCTCTAAATCATACACAAAAATCTATTCGTTAAACAAAGACGTTACGCCGCGAGATGTCGGCAATATAATCGCGCTGCAAACTTATGATAATGGCTGTTAAAGCTCAAAACGCAGCCAGTATTAATCCGTACAACTAATATTAGCAATAAACAGCCCTTTCGGCTAATTATGCTAAGATGTTTCGGAGTTGCCGACGTCTGCAGCGGGGATTTGTTGAGTTTGTGCACACACGATAGTCGGTTACTTGCCCAAGATTATATTGTTAAAAGTTACAACTTGTATACTCTTAGGACGTAAATAACAAATCATTGGATAATATTAGGTTGTTTTCTTCTTTTCTTTTCATTATCGTTATCATTACATGCAATGAAATCGTAAATTCGTTATAACTCACAAAATATGTACTCGTTTCCTTTTCATTATCATTATCATTACAATCAATGAAATCGTAAATTCGTGATAACTCAAAAAATATGCACTCGTTTCCTTTTCATTATTGTTCACATATTAGTTGAGTTTGTGCAAACACGATAGTCGGTTACTCGGTACTTGCCCAAGATTATATTGTTAAAAGTTACAACTTGTATACTCTTGTGACGTAAATGCCAAACCATTGGATAATATTTGACTATTATCTTCTTTTCTTTTCATTATCGTTATCATCACATATAATGGAATCGTAAATATCGGTACTAACTCAAGATTATATTGTTGAAAGTTACAACTTGTATACTCTTGTGACGTAAATGTCAAATCATTGGATAATATTTGACTATTTTCTTCTTTCCTTTTCATTACCGTTATCATCTTATTAACATAATATCGACACTAATTTTCAAAATATGAAAGTGTGTCTTATCTGTCTGTATGTTTGATAGCTTTTCAAAATATAAGGTAATATTTCGGCTATCGAATCGGATCCTAATGAAATTTAACGTAATTTTAGGTTGTAGGTATCATAAGGATACAAATACACTGCTACTATAGCTGTTATCTAAAAAAAAAGTAAATGCATTCACGTGAAATGGCTAGTTTCCTTATTTGACGACCCCGGTGGTCTAACGGTCTAGGACTCCGCTTTATTTCCGATGGTCGCGGGTTCGCTTCATCCTTCGGCTTCAAACATCTGTATTCATGAGTATGATTGCTTGTATCAGTCTGGGTGTTTTCTGCATATATTATGTATGTATTTATAAAAAATGTATTAGTAATATACTGCCCATAACACAAGCTCTGCTTAGCTTGGGACTAGATGACGCTGTATAAATTGTCCTGAGATATTCATCTGGGTGTTTTCTGCATATATTATGTATGTATTTATAAAAAATGTATTAGTAAACTAGTGCCTATAACACAAGCTCTGCTTAGCTTGGGACTAGATGGCGCTGTGTAAATAGTCCTGAGATATTCATTATTAATGAAATATCATAACGTGTCGCAATGTGTACGTACACTCTTGTCGCCGCCATATTTTCTTTGTTAACCCTTTATCGTCCGTGCGAGCGTTCGGTGCATTCCCTTTACTTTGTAAGATCTTAAATGGACGAGTTTTCTTGTATACGTACTTATAGTATTTAATATCATATATTTTACCTAAATCTGTTTAACTAAAGTTAGTCATTCGTTTCATGGTAATGGTTTTATAACAAACTACCAGAATCTGTTCTTAATTTGCTTGAAAAAACATTTAAATGTCATTTATAACACTTTATTTGTAAAAGTACTTACTATAAAATTGAAGAGTTTGTAAATGGTAAGTTTTCGTAGAAATTACTTAAAATTCATAGAGCTAACAATATTATTTGTTTGTAGTAAGAATAAGTGTGTGGCGGTTTCTATGTTGATTATCGCATGCCTCTTACTTGTTATTGTGTAATTATTTATTTTAAATAATATCTATTCAAAAAAGCAACACACATGTTTTTTGTTCATTCTTATGATGAATCTGCGTTCCGAATGAGTGGTAGAATAAAAAATATATGACTATTGAAAAGTGCAGGTATTGAGTTT